CATTCTACCTCTTCTTCTCGTTCTCATAATTCCTGTAGATCTGCTTAGGAGTCAAGTCTCTGTAAGAGTCTGCGTTAGGGTGACACACCCGAACATCGAAAAATGTAGATCTCTGTCTCGATCCCAAAAGCCTCTAGCATGAATATCCAAACGGGCATCAGAAGCTTTGTTACCGCCATGATTTAATGTCTCCCCAGTGACCTCCTGAAGGAATACCGGCTCTACTTCCACATCATTACATCCTTAGCATCTCTGCTTCCAGGTCGCGCAGTTCGTATTGGCGCTGGCTAATGAACCCGCCGCGCTCACACACCTTTGCGTGATCCACGCTAAATTGATCATCGCATGCGCAGATCATGGTCGTGTCCGTTATTTCTCAGTCGTACCGTAACTTGATTGCATCTCTAAATTCCTTCTTGTTCAGATTGTAATCCAGCTCTTTAGGGGAAATCACTGTCAGGTAATTTGATGATCCCTTCTCTGTAGCTAACTCAACAGCTCGCTTAGTTTTTGTCGGCAGGAAGTTCTTCACCAGCTCCAGCTTTCCACTTAGACAGTCGTCCTTTTGTTTTCGCGTTCTCATTTGCAATGTTCGAATATCTGAGGCATCTGGAGGCTGGTGCTCTTGCTAAACAATTCGCCTCACGAGCGGATTAGTAACTTAGACTGAAGCCGCGTATTCAGAAGAGGAGGTCGCTAAAGGTCTGTAAATCCAAGGCCTCCCGTGCGCACAGGGACACCAAGGAGATCGCGGTCTACTTTAGTGACTGTATTGTCAGTAACAGCTGGCATGAGAACCTCATTTATCGCGCGCTCGAGTGGCTTCAGTAATTCTGCAATATCCGGTAATGTTCTTAGGAAAAATGTCCAACGGTGCAGCAGACCGAATCGAAAGTGAAGGCTGCGTAGCTTGCTTGAGGCTGTGATATGGCGGACTCTGCGAGTTCATTCACCCATTCGTCTACTTTCTCCCCAACATATTCCATGGGCTGCATTTTTGATCCGTTGTTCCTGTCGTTTATATGCTCTGTCATCTTATCACATAATAATAATAATAATAGTAATAATAATAATAATCATAATCATAATCATATAAAAGTAATAATAATAATAATGATGATGATGATGATAACAATAATAACAAAAGTAATATTATTATTATTTTTCATTGTTAATAGGACAATCACATGACTTTGGGAGGGCATATAGTTTATTTGTCCCGCGAGGGTGCAAATGATGCTACGATGCATAAACTATATACCCGACAAAATCATGTGATTATGATTATTATCAACACACAAGGCCAATTCGTACAAATATATTTCATAAGGAAAGATTGTTTAACATGAAATCATGTTGCGGGCTGCAAATTCCATTACAGCCCGCTCTTTGCGTTTGGCCCACGAAAAGGAGCGTTTTAGGGAGGGCAGTTTGTCATTTGGCCGCGTGTAGTTATCAGTCATATCTTTATTTCAATTCGGATTTTAGAGTAGAATTTCTGCTAGAATCTCCGAAAAAGAAATAATAAATAAAAATTAAATTAAAATGGAAATTGTAAAATTAAAATACATATTCATATAAACATCAATATAATTATAATACACGCACATTATATACACAACTATTTTTTAAAAGTTGACTGCTTTATACATCGTTTGAAAGTATTAAGATCAGGAGCGTTTCTTGTTTCATCTGGCAGAGAGTTCCAGGTGGAAATAGATAAGTACTGAAAAGTGTTAAGTCCAAAAGTAGTAGCTGCCACTTTAGGCACAATGAGCTTTTTAACCCCCTAAGATTATACTTACTAGTACAAACATGAAACAAAGAAGTTAAATAGAAGGGTGCCATATTGACCAAACACCTATAAACGAGTGTGAGCATATCCTGGATTCTCGCCTCTCTAAAGGAAAAAAATCTAATTCATTAAGCAGGGAGGAATAATTGTTAGTAGAGTCATTAAATACTAATCGCAGTGCTTCTTTGCTAGTAATAAGTATGTTTATTGCACATAATCTCTAAATTGATCATAGTCGCATTTTACAATCTTACAAAGAAAAAAACTTAATAGAAACTTATTGATTTCAATCAGGTTACAGTCATATGATTATATGCTAAAAAATGTCTTATAAATACTGTAGAAAATTCGTCAACACATTTCTGTCATTGAATACTGCAGCAGCATGAATGTACTTGTATTCAACTGAAATAACTCATTTCTAAAATCTGCAATGGAGGACAAAAGATCTTGGGACTGTGTGAAAAGCCCTACCAAGCAATTGTTACGTAGGACCCTGGTCCTGATGGACAATTTTTTGTTCAACTCTGGGTTTATACCGTCGTCCCCCCACTTCCCCTAGCAATGTTGTGCTCAAAAAAAGCACTCATTTTCACCCATTTTGCTCCAAATTCAACTTTGTTTGGGGTTGGAGGGGAGGGGTCACCAGTTTTAGTAATATCACTGGAAAGGTCCCAACACTTTTGACCTCCATTGTCTGAAAACCACTTTGTTTAGAAAACTAGACGTTGCCTTGTGAGCTGTTGCACAGTGAATACCTTTATGCTGGAATTGATCTTTTGATGACGGTATGATATATTTTTTCAGACCAGAACAGCTATTGTTTTGCTCTAAGAGTGCTGGAAATAATCACGACATTTAACCGTAACACCATATAAAGCACTTTTCTGCTATATGTTTGCAAAGTTTCTTCCTTGTCTTTGTAAAAAGCAATGTAGCATCAGTAACACTTTTGGCTACAGTGCCAGACATGCCAAATGGTAGATATTTTATAGTATCTTGAACATTGATGCCAAATAAGACAGTGTAACGGAATCTCGAGGTTGCGTTACACTGAGTAGTTGAGCGCCTGTTAACATGTCTTGCTTCAGTTCTCGGCTATTTAAGTGAATATATATGTCCTTGGAAATCTGATTTATCATCAAACTGTGTCGACACAGTGATGAAATGTTTGTTTGCGATGAATTATTGCTATTTGCCTGCATAAAACAGAAGCGTTGAGTGATTTACGACAGTTCTCGCTCTTTTATAGTATAAAAATAATGTTTGAAATTTTGTCTATTATTTAGTTAGGGGCGAGAACTGTTAAAAGTAGCCTATTATGCTTGAGACTTTCCAGTACAAGCACGTTTTTCTCTCAGACTAGATGAGATACAATATGTGAAAGAACATAATTTGCTTATCACTGTTTCAAACGCAGGGAAATATACTTTTTACAGGTGAGAACTGTAGGGTGAGAACTGTGAGAACTGTGGAGTAACGTAAAGTATAGAATACATGTAGGTCTCGTCTGGTAATTTCCGGCAATATCAGGGCAGATATGTCGGGAGCAGTCAACAGAATAATGTTAGCGAGGCAGAAGTCACAGGGAATTATGCTCACCGTTTAATTTAGCTGTTTGATCGCCAAAGTGTAAGACAATCTTCTGAAATTTTTTCACGTCTCCGTGTTCACATGTTGACACATGCACAGAACCTACAGAGCGTGCTCTAAGTATATCTGGGCCGGGCCTTAGAGAATGTTAGTTTGTAGGGTATAAAAAGGTCGTATTCTGGCTTGGCTAAGAAATGCCTTTTGTGTCTTCTAAGTGCATCTTCTCAGATAGTAAAAATAAGTACTAAAAGCATTAAATGCCTTTAAGAGCTCAATCCAAAACACGTCGTTCAAATAATCACTTAGTTCCTTTTGGGTAAACTGAATGTTCACGCCGAATACCCCGCCTGGCAAGGTACATGTATCCGTAACTCTTTAGCGCGACAGACGGATCAGCTGCAGCGTATAGAAACATTTTACTAAAAAACTGCACTTTAACAGTTCTAATGAAAAAGTTTTCCTATATTTTTGTAGTGAAAGATGACGAAAAATTCATTTTATCGCTCTAAATCAATTTCAGACAATGGAGGACAAAAGATCTTGGGACTGTGTGAAAAGCCCTACCAAGCAATTGTTACGTAGGACCCTGGTCCTGATGGACAATTTTTTGTTCAACTCTGGGTTTATACCGTCGTTCCCCCACTTCCCCTAGCAATGTTGTGCTCAAAAAAAGCACTCATTTTCACCCATTTTGCTCCAAATTCAACTTTGTTTGGGGTGGGAGGGGAGGGGTCACTAGTTTTAGTAATATCACTGGAAAGGTCCCAACACTTTTAACCTCCATTGTAGTTCCCAATTTAAGGTTGATATACAAAAAACTGTCCCCAGCTGTCAGATCTTAGCATTTTCAATCAAGTGCAATAAGGGTTTTAACTCAGTCTATAGCCTACGGGATGTGTGGTAGAAAAAAGTCTTATTGATTAGAACTCATGGCACTGCGTTTCTAGAGGGCAGAGTAATGGGCGAGGGAACATCTGTTTGGGTTTCTTTCTTTCGTGCGCTGCATCAACACTCATATAGACACGTACATATGTTGTAGGCTGATTTAGCCAGCACTAACGTCTGGCGGCTCTTTTTAATAGTTGACTGAAGGACGTTCTTGATACAGAATTTAAAATAATGAATAAAATTCATCATCACATTACTGACGGTATAAAAACCATTACTCAGAAAAGAAATGCTCTCAGAAAAGAATGAGAAACCTTATCACATTACTATTGCTTGGATTAGAACATTGTTTTCTTTTGAGATTTTAACGTCGGTACACACATGCTTAAGAGGCTCTAGGACACCCTTCCACATAATTTCACAAGGAGATTTCATTGATGACTGCCGCTTAAACGCCACCCAATGGTATGAGCTCGTTTATTTACTTCAGTTTGAAATGAACCGGTTTTTAATAGAATTTTTTTTCCGAATATATGATATATTTTTAATGGAATGAATTTTTTCAATCGAAATTAGGTAAGGAGTAATGTAAATAGTGCTTTGACTGAAAAGTTTTTTTAAGTGAAATTAATTGTAAATAGGATTTTATAGTTAGTTTTGTTAACAATAAAAGATTTGGGTTATTACTGGTGGTACAAAAAAAACATTTTTATTCCCTTTTATAGACGGTAGAAAACCAACTATTATTAAGGCCCCACTGAACCAAAGTGCACGTATTGGGTCCAACGTAACATTTAACTGTGCGGTGAGTGGTGATCCCGCGCCTGCAGTAAACTGGACGAAGGATGGTAACTTGTTGTCCTTCAACCAAAAAGTCATAACAAACTTCACAATAGGTGAAAGTCAGCTAGTAATAATAGGAGTGAGAAATGAAGACATTGGTGGCAAATATCGATGTGTGGCAAGTAACCGTGTGGGTAGGAAAGAGTCAAAAGCGGCGGTGTTATCCTTACCTGTGCTAGTGGATGAAGGAGGTATGTACTCACTCACTCACTTCCTTCCTTCCTTCCTTCCTTCCTTCCTTCCTTCCTTCCTTCCTTCCTTCCTTCCTTCCATCCTTCCATCTTTCCATCCTTCCTTTCTTTCTTGCTTTCTTGCTTGCTTACTTACTAACTTACTTGCTCGCTTGCTTGCTTGCTTACGTATCTCCTAATCTACCTACATATTTGCTTAACTACTTATTTACTCTCGTTCTTACTTGTAAGAAGATGCATGTAATCTTGGACTTCCTGCCATTCCTGAAAGTTGAATTTATTCACAAACACAAAAAGATTGCTTAAAAAATCTTGTCAGTGGATACAGGTTGTAATCATTGCCATTGTCTTTCGGCTTTAGTTTGAAGCTATTGGAGAAAAAAAAAAAAAAAGAGGAGGTCTTTGGCCAAAGTGATGCTTCTTCCAGTCTAACACCATGTAAACAGGTTTCAAGGTTGAAGTTTAAGTTTTCAAGTTTCAAGTTTATTCAGAATATATAAAAACTATTACAATCAAATCTGACTGACCGTGCAAGTAGAGATTATCAAAATAACAGTTTTTAAAAAGAAAGAGAAAAACTTAGAAGTAATGTTTCCACATTAAATTAAAAAAAGTAAAACTAATTAAAGGACAAAAAAAAAAATTATGATGATAGGTACTAGATATGTATAGAGAGAGAAGACTTGTGAGTTAATATTTTTTAAGTTTTACCATGAAATTGTCATTATCTATATAGTTGTCTTCGGTTTATGACAAACCTCATAAACTATCGTCCAGCGGCTAGTTACTGTAGAACGCTCTTGATTAAGAAGGTAAAAATACTGACCGTGTAAAAAAATAGATATATTTTCTTTTTTAGACGATCAAATACCAACTACTGGTAAGGCGCCACTGAACCAAAGTGCACATATTGGGTCCAACGTAACATTGCCAGTGCCATTGGATGAAGAAGGTATGTACTCACTCACTTATTTCCTTCCTTCCCTCCATCCTTCCTTTCTTGCTTTCTTGCTTGCTTACTTTTGAGAAACCAACCTCAGCCGAGTTAAACAAAATGTGAGTGAAAATGTACTGCAGAGTAGACTTTTTATCTTATGTTTTTTTTCGCAGTGAAAGGGACATCTTATTTGCTCTCCGGTAATAAAGAACCAAGCTCCAGTACTATTTTAATTGTTGGGTTATGTCTTGGGGTCCTCGCGTTGGTTACTTGCGTGGTTATAGGACTGTTGCGGTATCGAAGGTCGAGACGTGCTAAAGAGGTAAACCTTAGTGACATTTACATGACATACAAGTGTCACACTAACGTTAGCAAGCATTATTGATGACCATATTTAAAAATAATTTTTATTTGAGCTTGCTTAGCAGCGAGACTCTGGAGACCATGGAAACTGGGGATAAGAATCGTCACGTGTCAGAGCGCCAAGCATCCTTGTGAAGAAAGTTTAGAAAAGATTAATGCGGAAGATGTCGAGCTTTTCCGGAAAGGGTCCGTCCACGAATTCTATCGCTTAAAAGCATTGATTACTTTCTAATAAGGGAATACTTCAGTGGTCGAAAAAATAAGAATCTTTATGAGCAAACCTTCGATAGCTCCGGTTTTGTAAACTTTCATTGTATGCAAATGAGTCTTGTGACGAGCATGCAAGTTATTTTCGGCGATGACTGAAATGACGCGCCGTGTTCATCACGTTTTTGCGCTTTGGCAATGATGTAATTTCGCTCGAATTGAGGCCCTTAATTTTCGTCCATTTATATACGCGTACTCAAACAATTCAGAAACAAGTCGTCGAACACGGTATGAAACGTAAATATCCCAAGGAATACTCGACCGTCGATAAAGTAGGACGTGAAAAATGTTTAGCGAGGAAATCCTGTTTCGTGTAGAATTAATCGCCTCCTCATTTCTTATCTCAGGGGCACCCAACGGCAATTTTCGGGAAAATATCTGTTCGGAAGACGATTTGAGATCTACAATTTTCGGAGCATTTCTTGTAAAATTTCTTGCTTGCCTGCCTTTCCTAGTATTTTCGAACATCTACAAAATGGTATAATTACTCATTTTTAACGGATTTTGACCCTAAAAAAGGCCACCTAGAATTTTCGAGAGCCTTTTCCTGGCTAAAATTTTCGAGAAGGTAAGTTTTAATCCCTATAATTTTCGGATCACTAGACTTTCAGCTAGGAAATCCGAACAGATGAAAAGTTTTTAGGGGATAAAAATATGCCTATATCTACCGTTTGAATACTAAAATACGTTCAACAATGCTATGTTAAGTGGTTTTGAATTATATCCTCGTTGGGTGCCCCTGTTATCTAATCTCCAAGCGAGCTCTACTAACCTTTTAAGAGTGTTCTTGTAACATCCATTTCAAGTCAATAATAGGTAAAAAACCGCTGTATGGCTATATTTATGACAGCTGACAATAACGTAGGACGCAGTAAGGAAAGGAAGATATTACAGAGAGGAAAAGAAAAAAGCTAAAATGTGCAAACTTTCAAAAACTCTTTCATAATTCATGAGCTCAACAACCGATCACGTCCGCTAAACTCAGTCACGTGCCCGTGTTATAAACCCCGGTAAAACACTGTCAAACTTTAAAAATTTCATCCTTATTAGTATTCTTTATATACAAAATACTAATAAGGATGAGATTTTATTTCATTTGCACGTGACCTATGAATATTAATTATCAGGACAGCAACTGATACGAAAATGTTGGGTAAAAATTTAATGTTCTTTCAAAATAACACACGCAGTAAATTTACTATTGCAAAAAAATTAAGGGCTTTGTTCTTTCACCAATTTAATCAGCCAAGAGTTCAGTGACACAGCGGTAATATTGGGTAGCAGTGTCCAAGCGTTGCCCTCAAGAGTTGCAAGTTGTGAATACGCAAGGCTCGAGTACCGGATTTTTGTTTACCAACCATTCGGCCACTCCAGAAAAAGTTTTTCAAAGAATACTTTTTCAGTAGAATAGTTGACTTTGGGGTACCATTTTAAATTAACGTCCTCTCTTCCTCGGCATATTTAGGCTTCCGAAAAGCTCTGGAACAAGACGTTATGTCCTCTTCGGTTAGTGTCGTTCGTAGACTTGAAAATTTCTAAACACGTGCGAGATTTGATTTTCTTACATAATAATTTCATACGTAATGTTTTTTTCGTATGCTAATTTCCAACGTTCACAAAAGCCTCATTGTTTTCAACTCCATTGAAACACGCTTTTCCAGGAATCTTTTTGAAGTCGTTCAATAAACTCGCGGGTCGGGTTTTAGAGGGGTATAAAGGCACGAGGCGAGGCTTGGCCCCCCTGCCTACCTAGATCTAACAAGAAAGAACCCTTCTAGGAATACATTAGTGAAACTGAGAATAAGCAGTCACAAACTTAAGATTGAAACAGGTAGATACGACAATATACCACGTGATGAAATGTTATGCAGTCCACGATGAGCCGCAAGCAGTAAAATTTCTGTCCCGTAATTTAATCAGTTAAATCATCAAAGTTGACAGGTCTTTCTGATGATCAAAGCGACCGTTCGGTTTACCATTTACACCTTCAGTGCGAAGACTGTCACGGGAACATTAACACCTTCAGGATAATTGCTTACCATAACAGTGGTAGGTCGCGCGCGTCTGGTCGGTTTTCGAAGAACGTGATCGTGACTGTTGTTTTCATTCAGTGACTGTGCGCGTTGATATGCCAACGTTTAAAACAGACTGCAAAATTAAATTTTTGTTATAAAAGCAAAGAAGCTGCCGAGTAGAAACTAAACCGTTCCAGACTTATTCCGTTTCATTCGTGTACTTTCATTTTGATGGGGGTCTGTATGATGAATTTACTTCTGCCTTCTAATCCGGCACGTAAACAACATAGAGATAAAACATTCATTTTGCCTTTGTGGAGTAAATTCATCTTAAAAAAGTTAAACTAGTGGACCACTTTCTCCGCGTACTTGTAAAAATAGGCATTTAATATGTCGCGCTACAGTGCGAAAATCTTCTTGTCGTGGATTAGATTTCAGTATACCTATTGTTAATCTTCATTTCGCGCCAGAATAAATTAGTTTGCGCGCAAAGGGCGTCTAAAAAAATCACAAGGTTTGTCCCACGTCGAGTCCACCTTCTGGAGATACGCCGGCATGGTAGCTGGAATACATTGCCAAGGCGAAGATCTGGCATTTTTTCCTCCTCGTCTTTTTTTCCCCGCAACGTTTGTTTATATTTGTAGTGAGAATGCCGTGAATATCGGTGGATTTTACTTCAGTCAAGCGGCTTCAGTTCCTGCGGCTTGCTACTCATCATAAAGAAGAGTGCCGGAATCGCTTTGTTCGCCTTTAACAGATTTGTTGTCGAATGCAAGGTAAAAGAACGGACTGCTGTAAGGTAAGAATTGAAGTTTAAATTTGTTTCTCGGCGAAAAATAGTGCATACAACTCGTGAAACCCGTGAGTATTACCTCTGTTTAATATACCGGATGTCATGCGATGACCCCTCGCTTTTACGATGGATAAGACGGATACGAACAATAATTTCTTTCGCAACGTTTAGTATAATTTATTTAGTATGGAGATCATCTGAGAACGATTTTTCGTTATATATGCTTCATTTCTTGGCTTATTCCGGCTACGTGCGAAAAATTAGATGACAATGTTTGTGTGCTATAATTATACTGATAATTTCTTGCACCTTGAAACTCATGAAAGCCAAACTTGTTTAACCCTAGCAAAAAACTCTTTTAATGGAGGAACTCAACCTGATAGTTGCACTAAAATCTGATAATTGTCACTGCATTTGCAGGCTCTCTGTAACCTCGTGGGTAGAACATACCTGAAGGTTACGTTAATAATAATCACTGCATTTGCTCTCTGTAACCTCGTGGGTAGAACATACCTGAAGGTTACGATAATAATAATCTTTGCATTTTCTCTTTGTAACCTCGTGGGTAGAATATACCTGACGGTTACATTTAATAATAATCACTGCATTTTCTCTCTGTAACCTCGTGGGTAGAACATACCTGAAGGTTACGTTAATAATAATCATTGCATTTTCTCTTTGTAACCTCGTGGGTAGAATATACCTGACGGTTACATTTAATAATAATCACTACATTTGCTCTCTGTAACCTCGTGGGTAGAACATACCTGAAGGTTACGTTAATAATAATCATTGCATTTCTCTTTGTAACCTCGTGGGTAGAATATACCCAATGGCTACATTAATAATAATCACTGCATTTGCTGTCCGTAAACTCGTGGGTAGAGTATACCTGATGGTTACATTAATAATAATCATTGCATTTTCTCTTTGTAACCTCGTGGGAAAAAAAATTAATGCCTCTCTCCTGGAAATTTTGCCCTGTCCTTTCAGCATAGTGATCTTTGGGTAGCGAATTCACGTAAACAAGTAAAACGCTTTTTTTTAACAACAGTATTTATATTACTTGGCTTTTTGAGGGAGGTTAAACATTAATGGAATAGAATATAAAAAAGCTCATAAAGCGGAAAAAGTTATCTTTACAAAATGCGCTTTGACAATGTCAAGGAGTGAAATAAGCTGAGGTTTTGTAGTTAGCCCGAAGAAAACCTGTTCCTGCATGAAAAGCAGTTCTTACTCCCTTCTCTTAACTAGAAGAGATGCATATCCCTGTGAACCAGTTTTTTAACCAGGAGCGATTCCCGCTCACTTCTCATACTTTATTGACACGAGTTCCTGTTTCAATATATGTCTAATTCAAGCTTAGCCGCGTGGTAGCTCTTCATTAGCGAAAAGGTCCAAGTGATATTTTGATTGACGTGTTGTTTTGGATCCTGAGGTTTTTTAACACCTTTTCTCTAGCTTAACTGGCGAAGATATTCTAGGAATTTGCCCTTCAATTCCAAATTCTTTGATGTGCCGCCAGATGCCGTGCAAAAATATCACCCCTTGCGGCTCCTCGTGTCTGCAATTGTAACAGAATTGAAGATGAAACTTTTTATTAGATTGTCCAAGTTTTTCTTTGATAAGAGAGATGTTTTTCCCTAAACTAGAACCTAAAATACCGTTTCTACGACTACAATCACATGAGACCTTATTATCACATCTAATAAATTCTAGTGACTATTTTATTAAAATCCAATTAATTTCAATTATATTATCTTGCTTTGAATTGAGAGACAAAGTTGTCTCCGGAATAATTAATCCTACTGATGGTTGAAAATAAGCAATGATTAATATATTTAGAATTATTTTAAATATTTGATTCAAAAAGGAATCAGTAATTAAATTCAAGTAGCTTTTGCAATACTGTTATATACCAGGGGCACCCAACGTCAGTTTTCGGAAAATATCTGTTCGGAAGACGATTTGAGATCTAATATTTTCGGAACCTTAGTTGTAAAATTTCTTGCTTACTTGCCTCTCCTAGAATTTTCGAACATCTAAAAAATGGTACAATTGCCCTTTTTTAACGGATTTTTACCCTAAAAAGGTCACCTAGAATTTTCGGGAGCCTTTATTCTGGCTGAAATTTTCGAAAAGGTAAGTTTTGATCCCTATAATTTTCGTATCACTAGACTTTCAGCTAGGAAATCCGAACAGATGAAAAATTTTTAGGCGATAAAAATATGCCTATATCTACCGTTTAAATGCTAAAATACGTTTAACAATTCTATGTTTAAGTGGTTTTGAACTATATTCTCGTTGGGTGCCCTTGATATACTTTGCTATAGTCATGGATGCAAATAAAGCTTGTTGTTGTTGTAACATAATACCACGCCGAAAGTCCGAGAGTCATGGTAGAAGTGAAATGCTGAAAATTGTGTTATCATTACATTAGGAAGGTTTTTAATCGGAACAAACGATACGGCATTTTAAAAATGTAGCTGATGTGAATACACTGTATAGGCATATGCACTTTTTTAAGGAGCGAAGATATTTCGTGTACTTCACCGCTCCAGTCTCTCTATGACTTAAGACTTAAGGGAAGCAATGTTTAATTCTCTTTAGTTTGTCTTTGGTTAATAGACAAATGACTTGGAATCATCCAGTCTCGCTATGGAGAGACTAAATGAAGACTCCGAGATTTCACCAGATGACACAGAAAACATTAGTGGCATTACAGATGCTGTTCCAGAGGAAGACAGAGTACAGCTCCTCGTTGGCCCCGCAACTGAAATAGCTTCTGTATCAAGACAGTCTGATGGTATTTACATTAAATACTCATGACAGAATTTTCACTGCTAATCACTCGTCTCCCCCGCACTTGTCTCCTGCATAGCTAGCCTACGTGGCAGGCGTTAAAAAGGGAAGGGGAAGGGGGAATTTGGGCGCGCGAGGAAGAAAGGAAGGAAACACGTACAAGGAGACCATTGTTTTCTCCATTTTTCACGCTCAGATTCTGAGCGTGAAAATAGTGATTGGTCAGAATTAATTAAATGTCAATCTTTGACTTAATACCTTTTTCCGATTGGTTGAAAACAACATCAAGCCATTTGAGTAACTAAACATACGTTGTTAGTGAAGCGCGATGAGATTTCTCTACGGGAATTCATCGTTACAAGGCATCAATTTCAGCTTGAAAGGAGAATAGAAAGAAGCAGTTAAAGAACCGTATGAAGGTTTTGAAAAATATCATCTCCCAACGGCTTGTCGGTTTTACTCACTAGAAGAAAGAAAGAAAAAAATCATTGTGACTGTGTGCGCGTTATCTGCTAATTGACCCGCAATATCAACAGCAAGGTAGTTGAAGACGAACCCTCAGCGATTTTTGGTTGAGGACTTCTTGCTGGTTATAAAACCGACATGAACTTACTTTAATAATGAATTGCTGCATTCTTGCAGACCTTCGAAGTTCAGCTCCCTGCTACCAGCGTTCTTTTGTGTGCTCCGCTGGATCCAATTGGTCCTGTTAGAAATTCAAAGAGTCACGGCAAAGTGTTTTAATTTTTCTCAGACAAACATTGCATTGAAAGTTGCCAAGTGCCACAACATTTCTTGTCAAATAGTTTTCCAGCCCGATTCCTTCAGCAACAACTTGAATTGGATTTATGTTGGATTTTATGTCACTCGGCACGCGCAACTTTCAAGGAAGATTCCTTCAATGGACGACCGCATTTGCACTTTTTTATAGTACCTTCACTTTAGATTTCTTTTTATACGAAAACAAAAGAAAAACATTGCTAGAAATACGACTAGAAGACGTGCATCGTGGCCAGACTTATTTGACAGCTAGTCATTCACAGTTGCGTTATTTGTGTTATTTTTTTTAATTAGTAGGCGGAATGGCGAAAACAATGGCTTGCTTTCAGGCGTTCCCCTCCTCCCTCCTCCCTCGCGCGCGGTCTCGCGCCCTAATTCCCTTCCCCTTCCCTTTCGAACACCTGCCACGCAGGCTATTGCGTAGCTAGAAAATAGCGGTTGCGTTGCATGGAGACTATGTTATAACAGGTTGCCCACTTAAAGTTTCTTGCTTCTTTAACTTGAAATTGCGAAAAGAAAATGTTAATAATCAAAAGCTGATACGGAAAATAGCCCATTTTCTCGTCTGAAATTCCACTGAGCTACAGTAGATATACCGATGCAATTGTGAATGATGTGACGTCCTCGGTTGCCGTCATCAATGCTATCCATTCATGGTTTTCACGCAAGCGTCAACCAGAACAAAAAAATTGAAAAAAAAAGACGTCATAATAACTCAATTCATTGATAATATTTATCCTTTTCTGATTGGCTCGAATCCCCTGAAAAATTCTTCATAACCGTATAATACTACTGCATGAAAAATTTTTGCAACTTGATTGGCTCGGAGCAGTGTATTTCTGCTTAATTTGAAATACCTACTATGAAAATTACACATGTTTTGCGGGTAGTAGTATAAACAAATAATAGCATGTTTTGTACGTGATATTTGGCATAAATACCACTTGTGATATTTTAAAATTGCCTCAAACTTCACTCGCCTATCGGCTCATATGACAATTCTGAAATATCACTAGTGATATTTGTGCCAAATATCGCTACAAATCATGCTATATACAAATAACGTCAATCTCCTATACTTAATATTCCTTTGTATCCTGAATTTGCGGAGGAGCGAACAACTAATGACCGGAATTTAACATCGTTCAAGGTATATAAGCTAGGGTGTGAATTGTTTGGAATGTATGCTTAACACGCTTGGAAATTTTGACCTAAAATTCGGCCAACTTTTCGCGGCCGCGCGGAGGATTGGGTCCATGTGAATCAAAAAAAAAAGATGGCGGCTCAAAGGGAACCTTACCAAGTGGAAATATTAGTGGCATTAAAGGAGCATTAAATCGCCAGAAGTCGAATTTTTCCTGGCGGATTTCAAATGTACATAAGCTGAGAGATCTAGATCAAACATTTCAAGCGCTAGGGAAAGTGGCTGAGGCTGTTGTGAAGGGAAAATACGGTCCCCTTCGGGATCGATAAGCATGAAATTTGTCCCATATCTTCCACGTTGGAGCGCACAATGATACGTGCTAAGAAAGGAATTTATCGCCGACTTAGTCCGCGGATGAGTAAAATCCATCCTTGGATGATTTGTTTTGACGTCCCGATGCCACAGGAAGTGTTCAATTGAATTTATTGAATAAAGGGGTTGTAAATCTTTCACGTTTTGGTGTAGATGTTTTGGAGCAGCCTTATTCAGTCACAATAACATTCTCAAGTATGAGAAGACTGTGTGCCCTATTTAATAAATTTGAGGACTGCCAAGGATTCACAAAGAAGCTAGGAGTTGGAAAAGGGGAAGTGAAACTCATTGTTGATGAAAGGAAGAATGGAATTATGAAATATAAATATAAAGAAGAAATGTTGGAATTGAAATTACATTATGGCCATTGGAATGCCTTTGGTATCCTTCATCATTGAAGAGGGAACAGTGTTTTCTATACAGTTACTAATGAGTTGAGGTAGCAACATATATATATATACGTTGTAGTTAGTTTTTTTATCTCAAGTAATTTTTATTTTTCCTTTATTTCATCTTTATTACCATACCTAAAAACCCTGAGTGGAATACCAATGAAGACAATTGGCAGAAGTCGCATTAGCAACTTGGGATCATTTGAGTCACCCTGAATTGCTTTCACTAGATACATAAAGCCATGCAAGATTAGGCGGGAATCTTTACCAGTTAACCTGTAAGTGAAGTCTTTATCTTTAGCTCTATCCTCAAAGAGCCACCTACCTAGTTGTTTTTTCATTCTCCCTGCTTTAACATCTTGTTCCATGGCCTTTAAATATCTGGACATTGCCGAATTGGAGGGCAAATCATCAAGACTATTTAATTTTTGGGGGAGGTTACTTACAGAAATAGCAAGATCAAGTAACATTGCATGAAAATGTTGGACACTATTATTCTTAAGGTGAAGTGGTTCAACAACTTCCTTGTCACATAGCTTACCAATTAATGGTTTGAATTCTTGTCTGGATTTTTTTACAGCAATAAATTGAGTTACTTTGGATCTCTTTGTTGATACTGCTAAATGACTAGGTATTTTTTTCTTGAAATCTTCAATCTGTTTTGCAACTTTGATTCTTTCTGCATACTGCCAAGGTTTCCACTTACAATCATGAGATTCTCCATACTTCCCATTCAGTGCATTACAGTCATCTTTGGAGACATTAGCAAAGCTAGAAAAATATTTAGCTGCATTACTTAATTCCCCATTTATATATGCATGGAATTTCATATCTCCTGGCAGGAGATCAGAAGAAAAGGTGACATTCTTACCCAATACTGTGTAAGATTTGCTCTCTATTTTTTCCATGTCTGCAGCAAGTTTCACTGTAAAACGAGAAACGACCATGTGGTCCTCCTTACAATTAGCTCCAAATAACAAAAAATTGTCATTGGGACTAGCTACCCTGGGCCCCACATTCAAAAAACTTATCAGCCATGACATAGATTGATCCCATTTCCCAAAAGGAGCCCCATCACCCCCTATGGCAATTTTAAATGCTCCCTCCCTCTCACTGAACCACACCAGTTTATCCCCAGGTTTCCTGTACTGATCAGTCTCAAAATAGAACTTGGCCAGCAGAAGTAGAAAGTTTTCCAGGTTTCTATAGACCCCATCAACCTGCTGATCAGGTGGAAGGTCATGGCATAGGGTTTCCCTTATTGAATAAAATTCCCCCACATCAATTTTTTTTTATTAACAACCCATAGGGAAGGAGTTTAGGAATTGGGATACCCATACCAAACAAAACTCTTTCTTTGACACAGAACCTAGTTTCTTGGTGTGTTTCTTAGTATTTTTCATAACAAGAGCTGATTTTGTTTGTTCATATTTTACCTTTCCCATCAATCCTCCTGCATAAAGCATAGAAAGTGAACGAATGACATTATGATCACTTTGCTCATACTGCTTAACCTGAGGTTTTATTACTGCTAGACTAGCTTTTCTCATCTTTTTTGATGAAGAAAAGTATTTAGATAGAGCTGCTGTCTTCGCATATTTAGTCAGCGTAGAAAACATGCCATCCAAGCCTGGGGACCTGTCTTCAACAGATCCACCATTTACCTCTGTTGCTGCAACCAACGTTTCAAGTTGTCTTCTGCTGGCACTTCGCTGCGGCACGTTTAGCTTTCCCTCATCAGTGAGCACAGTTGGACTTTTTTTTCTTAGAGTGGATGTGTTAGCTGTCACTTCAAAAACTAACCTTCTTTTAGTCTTGACAGCGGGAAGATCAACTTTTACCAAATCAACATTTTATTTTATGCGAGTTTTCTGCAAGTTCAAGAACGTAAGTTAACCCTTTAAGCCCTATGAATGATCAGCATCAAATTTCTCCTTGTGATATAAATACTTTGTTAAACAGAGTGGTCAGGAGAATTGCGGACATGATCACACAAGATGAATTTGCTTGATATTTTATCAACTTCTTCCCACTACTTCTGTACGAAATGAATGTAGCGAATTTAACTTAGAGAACATTTACTCTGGAGTAAATTTTAGCGGATCGATGGAAAAATCGCAAAAATAAGAACCCGCAAAATTTTCGTGCCACACGGTAGTCCTCTCCTTTTACTAAAAAAACCTTTTTCAAGCTAAATTTACCTTATTCTTGAGTCGCTGAAGTCTTTTTTTTAAGGTACAAATTCCTTTGATTTCAAAAGGTACTCCGCTCGAAGCGTAGCCCTCTGCTTACTGAGCTCCCCAACAGGAAAATTTGACTTGCATTTCTTCGATGTAGTGCTCTTTCTTCGTGACTTGCTCCCTATGTAAACCGCTCAGCGAACCATATAAACGCAAAAATCTCTAAGAACCAGAGGCATCCGGTAAAAAACCAAAACGAGGAAAACACAGCCGAGGTTTCAGGTCTTCTGTTTACGATATCATACCTGGCAATAATACGTTTCCCAGCGAGAAAATTTTCGACAAAAATACTCAGTTTTTCTTGAAGGACTGCGAACTCAGTGTGCATGAAACAGAGAGTAAAAGTACAAGGAAAAATTTTGCAGAAGAAAGATGTAAACGCATGCAAATCGCATATCAACAGAAAGCTTAAAGCCTGTAGAAATTTGTTTTTGAGTGGGAAAAACTCCCCTAGTACCCATTCCTCCGCAAATGGCCAAATTCTGACCAGGACTCTTGAGCGAAAATGGCTGCCAAATGACCGCGCTATAGAACTGCTAATTAGGGACTGGAAACTGGGGACACTAAACTTGGCCAAAATTGGCACAAAAATCTCCAAGCGTGTAAATAGTTGTTAGATTAGGCTTCCGTATGATCTGAAGAATTAGGAGGATGTTAGAGGGTGTTATCCACCTCGACGGATAACGCCCTTCTCGATCTTCTCAGCCGTATCCAATACTCGCTGGATATGCGATGTTAACATTTTCCCTTTCGTAAGCGGCTAGTTTCAAGCAATTTTTTTTTTGTCGATGGCATTGTCATAATTAGCTACCACCGGCTACTTGATGTTGTTCCTTTCTTGTTTTAGGGGAATTTTCTGTTGACCTGCCAAGAAGCCAGCTTGAAACACCTGAATCCATTCTAACACTCGGAGACGTACCTCCCGAGGGAGAGCCGAAGCCTTGCAGGCTGTTGACGCAGGACAGTGCTTATGACAGCGGGGGAAGCCAAGAGAGCGTTTCCTTAGAACATGACAATGCCTTTGACGGAGAAAGGTACATCGACTGTATCAAGGGCATAAACATAGTAAATTAGCAGTAACCTCCGCGGTCTATTGTCGACTGTATTTGTAGGAAGATGTACAGTTGTACGTACCTGTGAGAATCCATAGTACATTATTTTTCTAAAGAATTTTGCATGCGAACTGAACAATCATTGTAACCCCCGTGAGAGCACACTATTAACTAATTCATTTCGCATACCTTTCATGATGAAAGTCACAAACGTGATTTAACATATCTCCCTCATGAAGGCAACATGATGTGCGGAACCGGCTACATGTTGTCAAATCGCCACCCATTGCCTGCACCCGGTCACATAAGTGTATTAATCTGGATGCCAAAGGATTAAATTCTAGCCGGCCTCGCATGACCAAAGCTTGTCCTCAAATCTTTTTGCGCGTCAATGGTACTAATATTATCTTTAGAGTGTCAACAATTTGATTAATTTACAAATGCATTACTGCTCAGTAATGTCTACACTATATTAGTCAGTAGTCAAATGCTTTTGCTACCTCTTCTAACAGAAAAAATTTTTCTGTTGAAATGAAAATATTTATAGCGTTATATCAAAGGAGAATGAAGAAAGGTGGGAAATTGACATGAAGAGACTAAAAGTGTCTGACTTCGTGCTTGGAGAGGGAGAATTTGGAGTTGTTAAAAGAGGTACCTATCGCGGACTTGATGGAAGGACCTGTAATGTCGCAGTAAAGCAGTTAAAAGGTATCACTTGAATTAAGAACGTTTTTTTAATACTCGGGAAAAATTTTGTTCGCAAAATTAATCAGTTGCACTATTTTTTAAAAAATAATGCCATTCTCCGCAATGAAACCTGCAACTGAACCGGACGCTATGTACTTCACTATTTTCTTTCTTCCACTGACTTTAAATTTTATTTCCGATTATTAAATGATAAATAGAATGATATGTGTGGAGATTAGAAATTCAGAACAAACTCTGAGTTCCAGAATTTTAACAGATAAAATTATATTATCATGGCAGATATTAAAAACTAACCTGATTAATCACTGGGCTTTTCTATACAGATGGCACAAGTATCACTGACAAAGATGATCTGTTAGGGGAAATACAGATGTTAAAACAAGCTGGATGGCATCCAAACATCGTTGCTTTAATAGGCGCATGTACTCAAAAGGGTATGTCTGTATATCCTTCCGCATTATCTGTTAACACTGATTTAAGAGGGCTCAATTTTCATTTCTTTATCAATTTATTATTTTTCTAGAGGAGATTCTTTTGGTGACTGAACTTATCCCTAATGGAAGCCTGGAAAAATTCCTGAAATCAAAGCGGATGGTATGCGTTCCTGGCGAAGCGAGTACATATGAAAATGTGCATTTTGGGTTAAACGACCGGGAGTTACTTGTTATTGCATATCAAATTGCTATGGGAATGCAACACTTGGAGGAGAAAAAGGTATGAAGTGACAGAAGTTCTATTACTCTTCTTAAGCGCGTTGTATCAGTAATTGATAAATTCAGAAAACCGTTAAAGCCAGAAATAGTCTGTGTTGGAAGGAAAAGCTAACCAGGCGTGAGAAAACTAAACCTCAACCTTGAGGGATTTAAGTCGCTGGAAAAATCGACCATAGGACAGAATAAAACTATTCCAAGCCAAGGAAATTCAGTCTTTGATAAAATTTAATTTTGGAAATGCTCTCTTCCATTCTCAAAGGATGGTACTCTTTCCGCCTCACTGAGCCTCTCCGTTTGCTTGCCACATTGGTGATTGAAAATTAAGGGGCTGCCCGCATTCTATAAACCATATTGTACGCGCGTTATGTATATTGATAACTAGACCATAGTGTATACTTGTATTGTAACTGACATAAAAGAATAAAAATTAGACCCTTTCAAAAGCAGAGGAGGGGAAGGGAGGTCGAGTTCCTCTCGTGGTTGAACCATCACTATTTGGATATCAATTAAGAATCTAAGAGATGACCGTCACAGGTCGCCCGGCAGTTTTATATCCCATAATATTAACTTCATTTAGTGGAGCGTCTATGAAAAAAAATAAACCAAAACAAAACAAACAGACGATTGAAGGTCTGCGACCAAACTTGCCACTCTTTGGTCAGGAAATTGACCACCCCTGAAAATACCATAACATACCATAACGCTCTTTGTTTGTCACCCCAAAATTTTGCATAAGCATAGTTTTCAGTTTCTCTTGAGGCCATTTTAACTCCCAAGAGAAATTGTAGACAAACAAAGAGCATGACAAACAAAGAGGGGTGACAAACAAAGAGCATTATGGCATGTCATGGTATTTTCTGTAGCGGTCAATTGTTTGTTCTTGAAATTGCACCTCTATCAGGACTAAGATAGCCTCCTATGCAGATCGTTCTCAAGCGTTCTCACTTATTTCGCAGTTATCTTTTGTATGTTTGAGTCTCTCCCTGTAGCTATTTACATTTTATACTTTTGCTATTATAATTAGAGGGTCGATTCTATTTTTTTCTAGCGTATTCATCGCGACCTTTCAGCTAGAAATGTCTTCATTGGCGAAAACCTCGTGGCGAAAGTTGGTGACTTTGGATTGGCAAGGGATATCTCATTCGATGGCATTTACACCAAAACATCCTCTGTAAGTACATGTTAGTTCGGGAATCGCTCTTTTTCTAGTATCCTTAGTTTAACCATACTATCCAAGTACGCTAGCACAAAGTTCTTTACTTCTACCTTTTCTTTTTCCTAACCTACTGTCTGTAGCTTCTAAAAAGAGATTTGTTTTTTCTTCTACAGGGTAAAGTACCTTGGAGATGGATGGCGTTAGAATCGTTAAAAGATCGTGTATATACTTCCAAAAGTGACGTGTGGGTGTCCTAACTGCTTGTGTCCAATCGTTAAGGTCATTTCGATTTTTTTTCAAGTAATTCCATACCATTTACTTATGTATGTAAATTGAATTATTCTTTGACTTATATTGATATCTTTCTGTTTCTTTCGTTTCCTTAAAGATGGTCGTATGGTATTGTGTTGTGGGAGATTGCCACTTATGGTGGGTATTAAAAGTAGACAAACTTCTATGTTGTCTTCTAATTACGATATATAAAACTTACCATTTTATATATAACAAATACGTTCCGTAGAGTATTAGTAACACCAAAAACGAATACAAACATATCACGATATTTTGTTCTAGGGAATAGGCTATTTATATTCTTGAAGATCGGTTTGAGAAGTATTTTTTGCAAACGCTGTGCATGGTGGAACATTCATATTTTCCAGAAATAAAAAATGCGAGCGAAATTGTAAGCCTAAATATTACCGAATTTCTGTCTTGAGTAAACTTGCCTGAAGAACATGATCGAAAAGCAAAATTTAAAACCAAGATTATGAGCTAGGTAGAACACAATGAAGTTGACAATAGGCCTGACTGTGTTTTACAGTTACACGTGGAGACGAGGCTGGGTTGACCTAATTATGTTAAATCAGTTAGTTGTTATGCTAACTACTATTTTTTAAATATAATAATCATGAGAAAAGGAAACTGTTTGTATCAAAACAAGGCCAACGTCAATCTCACATTCACTAAAAGGCTAAGGGTACCAAGCTCATAACTGTAAAATAGTCTATTGTCCATGAAGTACTTCCCCTCAGAGGAACTGACCATGTATTTGATCAAGGAAATCAACATAACACACTCCAAAAACTCTTCAAAAACCTGTCGTCATTATTTCCAACCAAGATGAATTATCAAGTCCGTTGTTGCACGTCAATTTATTCTTTGAAACTCCCTGACAAACTCCTTGACTTTGCGGAAGATGTTTCTTTCTTGGCTTTGCAAATCGATTTTTCACGAAAACCGGAAAGCCATTATAAGCCCTATACTAAGCTGTGACGAAATGTGTTGCTCGAAAAAAGACAGTTAACCATCTTGACTTTTTTAATTTTTTTTTTGTTTCAGATCAATCATTTAAAACGTCGAAAACTTATTTTAAACAGGTCAGACATTCTCATTATAAGTAAACGTTTTTGTTGTTGTTTGCTTTTTGTTTGCTTGTTTGTTTGTTTGTTTTTTCTTTAGTTCGTCTAAGTCGATGGAATAATAAATGTGTTATTGGACGGTTTAGTGTGTAGCATCGTGGGATATTTTAAAGCTAAGCTTAAGACCTATGTTTTTCGACAAGCATATTTTTAGACTTTCAGTTTTTTTTCTTTTTTTGATTTTTAGGTCTTTTAGATTTTTCCGATTCTTAGGATTTTTTTCTTACATTTTTTAGTGTATAGATTGTAATATATTTGACACTGTAAAGCGCATTTGGGCGTTAGGAAAATGCGCTATGGAAATGAATTATTTATTATTATTATATTCCTACCCGTTTCTTGTAATATGACTTAAAATTTGGTGGATGTCTGTAGGTGAGGTGCCGTACCCTAACATAATAATGCTAGCGGATTTAATCAGTTGGCTGTCCATGGGGAACCGTATGTCACGTCCGGAACATAGCTCAGACGAACTGTACGTTTGCAATTGTCTTCTATACAAATGAATAAATAAATATTCAAAAATTCATTAATCAATCAATATTAATCCAGGGGCATCCAGTTTAGTAGAGCTAGTTTAAATGCCGCCCTGACACAACACAAAAGCAAAGACATTAAAACATTAAAACTAGAAAATTAATGAAGTTACAAACTTGAGCCAAAATGTACCGCAGGCGTTAATGTTTAAAATGGCGCTTTAGCTTGATTTTAAATTCGCTGAGCGTCTCTACTTGTCTAATGATCCCCTGGAGCTCTGGCGCGTCACGTTCTATTAACTGCGATTTACTGTTTCGATGTGAATCTTTATAGATTTAGGGCCTGTTTACATGGAGGTTACACAAGATTGTCAACCTTTCCTTGGAAACTGGTCGGATGCCTGGAATACTTAAACAAGCTATACTTAAGCCATTGCTCAAAAAGCCCTCTCTATTTCTAATCTTCGTTTCATATCCAAAACTATTGAAAAATGTGTTGCTAAACAGCTGATTCAATACTTAGATATTAATGACCTTGGTAAAACATATCAATCGGCCTATAAGAGAAACCATAGTACAGAGACGGCTCCTATTAGAGTCCACAATGACATAGCCATGGCAATAAATCAACATAATTCAGTTATCCTAGTATTTCTCGATCTTTCGGCTGCATTTGATACTGTTGATCATGGTATCCTCCTTTCGCGACTGTCCAATCGCTTTGGAATTACTGGAACTGTATTGGAATGGTTTCGATCATATCTTTCTGATCGTACACAGTTTGTGCAGGTTAATGGTGCGTGCTCTGCTTCTCATGTTCTTGAGTTTGGTGTACCGCAGGGATCCGTTCTTGGCCCGTTGTTATGTACACATCCCCTCTTGGCGAGATTGCTCGACGTCATCAAATGTTCTATCACTTTTATGCTGATGACACTCAGCTATATATTACGTTCAGGACGTCGTCTGTTTCTGATATGAATCTGAGTAACGCTAAATTGGCAAACTGTGTTCGGGACATGGACGCATGGATGCTTTCCAACAAGCTGAAATTAAATAAAGACACGTCCAAAGTTCTCGTGATATCCTCCTCCTATCGACCTCGGCCATCACTATCTTCTGTTGATATATGTAATGAGACTGTATCCTCCTCCCCCAGTGCACGCAATATTGGAGTTATCTTTGATCAGTCCCTTTGCATGGTACCTCATGTCAATGCAGTCTGTCAATCTTCCTTTTTACACCTTTCGTAACATTGGTTTCATACGCAAATATCTTACTTATGATGCTGCAAAGATCATTATTCATGCCTTCGTAGTTTCTAAACTTGATTATTGTAATTCTTTATTGTACGGCCTACCATCCTATCTTATTCGGAAGCTTCAACATGTTCAAAATTCTGCTGCTAGCCTTGTCAACCAGTGTCCAAGATATTGGCATATTACTCCAGTCCTGAGGGATCTTCACTGGCTCCCTGTCTCCTTTCGTATTGAACTTAAAATTATGTTAATTACTTAGAAAGTACTACATGATCGAGCTCCAATCTATATACAGGACCTCCTTCAATTGTATACACCCAGCCGCATTCTTAGATCCTCTAATAGAAATTTATTAGTTAAAACCTATTTTAATCTCAATTCGTATGGTAAACGAGCTTTCCTGTGGCTGCTCCGGAACCTTGGAATAACTTACCTGAGGATATTAAATCTGCAAACTGAATTGATGATTTTCAACGCAAACTTAAAACATTTCTTTTTATGCGAGCTTATGAATCGTGACGTTTTTATTTTTTGTCTGATTTTTTATCTATTGTGTAGATTTATCTATTTTGTAGTTAGCGTCTAGTTTTAATGTCAATTTCTTGTGATTATTTTTACTTTTTAGTTCCATCTAATTTTTTGTAAACAGCGCCTTTGAATCTTGTAGAAAAGGCGCTATATAAATGGATTATTATTATTATTATTATTATGGAGGTGGGGGGACCCAAGGTAGGTGAGATAACATGTGGTGGGGCACCCCACCTATCATCTTAACGTGATCAAAGTAAAATTACCTGTAACCTGGTATCTCTGTTACGTTGTAGTTACCTTGTTACTCTTAAAGTCGGTACAATACATGTCCCCATACATGACGTACGTACCTCTATAACAGTGTTAAGCGTTGCACTCAAGACTTATCAGTTGTGAAGACGCAAGGCATTAAGACACGCTTTCCAGGAATGTCTTTGAAGTTTAAAGAACATCATCCTCGGAATTCGGACTCGCACACACACTTGGAGGTCGTGAACAAATGAGAGCATTCTGAGCCCTTAAGAACTTGCAAACTCGGCGACGACATCAGCAGATTTCCTGATGTTCTTTCCACAGTTCTTTGTGTGTTCCAATATATCAGTCGGAACAAACGTGTGTGAGACGGTATTTAAAATCCTCACCAAATGCTGAATCGGCATCACTCGCGGTCTCCCCATTTTCCCTCAGTTCTTCATTGTCTCGCTAACTTTGCTTTAGTGAAACTCCAATGTGGGTCAGGGTCAGCGTCATTTATTTTACATTTTTCATTGCTTTCAGGTTCATGACCCTGAGAAAGCGAGTTTGTACACACGTGTCTAAGCCGCTATGTAAACTTTTAGGTGAAAATAAACAGCAGAAACAGCTGATCGATCGTGCGAAGCCTAACTTTCCAACAGTTCCTTTTCGTTACCATTTTGATTTATACGGAGGCATTTTAACCAAAACTTTAGTTGAGTAACGGTCAGTTTTTCTATCTCTTCAATAAAACTAGCACCAGTAATGTCCTGTGGAGTAAGATCTACTTGATCGTTCTTCTTGTTAGTTATTTTAAATTGGCCGCGAGGGCTATTAAGTCTCACTTCCATCCAACTTCCGTTTTTTTTTTCTGGAAACGGGGTATTGCGTAAGAAGCCTGAAAAAAAAAACTCCAGGACTTGAACGGGATTTGAACCCGTGACCTCGCGATAACGGTGCGATGCTCTAACCATGCAACTAAGCTATGAAGCCACTGATGTTTTCATATGTCCCCGTGATGAGATGAATGTGACAAATGTATATGAAATAAGTCATATTTGAAAACTGCGGAAATGAATTCTGGCAGTCTTGAAAGCAATACGCCATTTGCTCGATGATGTCTTTTACTACTAAGACCAGACTTCATTTCGTTCTTTCTTTCAAATTTAAAATTGGTAATCCCAGCGAGGTTTAAATAACAAAAGCCCTAACTAACACAAGAAAGCAAAACCCTGAAGGATCCTGGTAGCAGTAGTAAAATGACGTCATCGTGAATATGGTCTATGAAATAGGCCATTTGCACTAAGAGGTCATGTGACATCGTTTTTATGAAAGTGAAAGTTATATGATTTTTTTCTTCAAAAAACGATTGGTGGGTCATGTCTTGAACAAAATAATAGTGATTTTGTTTTTCAAACCTGCACCATTTTCTTAAAATGAGTACGTTCGTAGTTGGTCACGTGACCAAAATGTGATTTTTGAAATTGAGAGTTAACTCTTTCTGAACCAAATTTTGCTCTTAAACTTCAAGGAGAATGTTGAAAAGTTTATGTGGGAACGTTTACAGCACATCTGAGCGTAACTATCAAACGTTTAACAAGATCTAAGCAAAAAGAAGTTTTGGCCGCCATGTTGGAAGGCAAGAGTATGCCCTCCAACATGGCGGCCAATACAAATGATACTACTTTGTTGAAAAATCAAAGTGCCATAAAATATCTTCCTTAAATGCGTCTCCCCTCAAATTTCGGGTGTAAGATAAGTTTTATGTGCTCTGTCAATTTTTGGCATCAGCAAGATTCCAACTCATTGTTTAAAAGAAGCATTGGTCACGTGACCCCTTAGTGCAAGTGGCCTATTGCGTGAGAAGCTTGAAAGAAAATTCAGGACTTCAACGGGATTTGAACCTGTGAACTCGCGCTCTAACCAACTAAGCTATGTTGGGAGCTGGTCAATTATGTGTTCATGTTCCCGTGAAAGAGATGAATGTGGAAAAATAATGTATATGAAATAAATCATATATGAGAACTGTTCCAGGCTCCTAGATAGTCGGGTCCGCTGAATTGAGAAGGCGCGAACATAAAAAAAAAAAAAAGAAAAGAAACAAAGAAAGAAATTCAAAAACGGGAGGAAACTGGGGAGATGAAGGGCGGCGGAGCCTGTAATCTCTGCCAATTTTTCGCATGCCTTACACTTTCCCGTCAGTTTTCCCCCATTATCTCGAAGCCTGGAACAGGCTACTTAACAATCGGATAGCGTTTCCTTCTTCAAGACGAGTTGTAATTAGGTATTACAGATTAATTATTCAAACATTGTCTGCTGTTATTTGTAGGTATGAAATGATGCGTTTATGTTGGTTAGAAAACCCTTTGATGAGACCCACATTTGCTGAAATAACGGAGCGATTCCAGTATTATTTACGAGAATATAAGGTGCTGTCTTGAGTCTTCCTTTGTTTAACCCTTTAAATACTGTAAAGTGAAATCACTGAACAAATTTATTGCTAGTCCAAGAAAAGCCAATTTCGGTCTCTGTCAAAAATTATTGGTTAATTACTGCCACAAAAAAGGGAAAGCCGCTGTCGTTGACTTTCACAGGACCAAAAAAAAACAAGAATCCGTAAACTTTTAAACATGGCGGAAACACTCGACTCCGTTGCGGTGAACTCAAGAGGGCGGAATGTCTAATATAAACAGTATTGCGACACATTTGTTTGTTTGTTTATATATATTTGTTTACACCCAATTTAGAGAAATTATGTGAATGTAACCGACGGTGGTTCAGAGAAGGACCCAGAAGTCTCGTTATTGGATGGGATTTCCATGACCAAAACCACGACGGTTTGACAACTGGATCAGTACGCTACGAGGCAGTTCTTAGTATTGGTAGCAATAGAACATTTGTCAAACACCTGCAAGATCACATTATGGTCAAAAGATTGAAAGGATACTGATACCCACACCACAACACACAAGCTAACCGAAAGTTGTTTCTGCAACACGAGGAAACTTAACCGCATTATTTTATTGCGATCTAAAAGTCGCAATTTTGCTTAACTTAGATTACCAGTATGGATTATGTTTTTACTCATAGTGCACAATTTTTGACCGGGTTTGTAAAATCGTTATGACCTCTCTCAGCTGAAGTCACTGCTCCTGATCGTCCATTTAATTATTGTCATTAACAATGTCCAAAGTAGCCATTCTAAAAGTTAAGATTGCAGCCATTCTCTTTTTCCTTTTTTCCTTCTTCTTTTCCTCTGTGTTACCTTTACTTGCTCTGGCGTGATTTTTGGGCTTGAAAATGTCAGGATTTGGCCTTTTTCCCGATGTTCGGTTAAAAAATGGCTATTATTTGTTTTCAGTAGGTCCATTTCTGAAAATCGAGTCGTTTTGGATTTTATATCATTAACGTTGATTATGTTGTTATTATAGATGGTTTTCACAGTGACTTCATCAAATTGTAAAGTTAAAATAGCGAGGTTTTACGAATTCTCATTTACATTAGGTTGAAGATAAACAAAAAGTAAATCTTTGTACAAGTTTCCATTCCCGTAGCATGTTTCCGAGTTTTCACAGTGCGTGGTATCAAAATAGGAATACTGTCTCGTTGAAAAAAAGCCTCTCCTCTTGATTTTCAGCAGTATAACCATTTTAAGTGTTAGAAGATATGTTTATGCGCACTTATGCTAGTTCTCGAGTTAAAAGAAAGAGCTTTTACAGAAAAAGTGAATTCCAGATGTTTTTGTTGATTTCCGGTGGCCATATTGGTGGACCAAAACGGTCCACCAATATGTCTCCATATAAAGATCTACAAAGTTGTGTGAAACGTCTCGGCAAATAACTCAGAAACTGTGGGCCACAAAGACCTGTCATGAGACTTGGACAAATTGTTTATTTATTAGTCTTTTATAACATTTCATTTTCTTGGCTCCTTCCACTGGACGGTTCCCAAATTATTTTTTCGTTGCGTGACAGTGAAAACGATCTATTGTTAAATTTATTTCTTTGTGGGTGTTTCTCCTTGTTACATAGTATTATGTGTTGTGTTAAACATGTTTGCTTAACTAAGTTAACCAGTATGGATTATGTAAAATGGTAAAAATTATCTTTAAAATGATCTTAACTGAATAAAAACCTACGAAAATCACCTACAACAAAATTAATAACAGTAACTGCTTCAAACTTTGTAATGAATAGACAACATATTAAATTTTTATTAAGTATTTAAGTAGTTTAAATATTCACTTTTTTAGCGTCTTAATAGTATATTTTATGAAGTGTCCCCAGTTAGCCCTATTTAGGCCTATTTTTTTTTCTTTTTTCAACTTTACATGCCAAAAAATTACGTGACATTTTTTTCCATTTTTTTTTCGTTCCCAGGCCCCGAAATCGTGACCCAAAATCATGTCGATAATTGTCAATTTTTAGCGAAAAACAAAACTAGCCAAAGTTAACCATTACTTTCCCTAAATGTACGGTTATATTTACAATATTCATTAATTACCCTATCTGGAAGTCATAAAATACGTTGGGAAAGTGAAAAATAAACCATGTAAATCGGAGTTCGAAGTCGTCGAACTCGAAAGAAGCCGTGACAGGCATTGACCGCTCGGCCAAAACACGGTCATCACTTCAAGCGGCCTAGTCGTTTAAAACATGCGTATTTGAAATATGTTTGGGTTGATATGGAAATCCTGCATGGGATCTAATTAACATTTAAGCCCCAAATTCGTAAAATTCGTACGTGTTCGAGCGAAAAATATATGTAAATCGGCGTTTGAAAAGTACTCCTTCACATGTTGGCGATTTTGCGGAGCGCCCCCGTCCTTCTTGTAACTTGCATTACGTTTGTGTTGCGTTGTGTAGAGGCCGTGCAAAACGACCAAGGAAAGCAGGAAAACGGTGATGGTGGGAAATACAGCCAAAAAGGATATCCATCATTTCGGGCCCAAATAAACAAGTAATCTTTGAATCTATAAATTCCAAATTTGACGTAAATTTACTAAGTTGCGCCCGGTTTCATGTTCGGCAACTGATAAATGCTCTATATGTTTGTTAGCAGTAAACTTCTGTACGAATTGTAAAATTGCAAATCTCCTCAACAAGATGCTGATGATCGTGATGAAGAACTGGATCCAGAGGAAAGCTTAAGCAAAACAAACTCCGTTTTAAAGATTCTTACGCAAAAAGTCGGACAGGAGTGTTGGATCCCTAATGTAATAATAAATCATAGACTTTGAGACGAACGTAGCTCTTTATTCCGCGATAAAAACCTTCCACGGTACGAGAACGCTTTTCGGCCGCCATTTTGTTTAGCCTTCTTCATCCAGCCCCATAGCCCGCTCATTCAAACTGCGCATGAGCAGAACCAATTTTTCAGTCTCAAGCAAATGTCTCCCTCAAAGGGCTCAATTTTTTGCCATGCAAAATACACACGCGTTTGACATTTACAAAAACTAATATGCTACAGAAACATAGCTACAATACAGAGAAAATACTGACAGAAAAACCAACATGCTACAGAAACGCTACCTACTATACAGAGTAGTCTGGGACCAGGCTTGGCAGTGGGGGAAAAAGGCAAAAAAACGGGGTCAAATAGGAAAAATATCGGCGAGCGAAGTGAGCGGCGAGGTATCCTGGGAAGTGGGGATGGGCGGCGGAGCCAGGAGTCATACCTTTGATGCCGCCTTTCAATGATACCAGATTCTGGTATCTAGTTCTGATTGGTCAAATGTCTTCATGTTGACATATTCGCGTTGCTGTTGACAGTATCGCTCTCTTTCAATATCACGCTCCTACAATTCGGGAAAAGATTTTTTAAAACACGGATTTCGAGCAAGCAATACAAATTTCTTTGCGAGACCTTTCACTTATCCCTCGGCTCCAAGAAGAGCAAAAATATGCCTGTGATTTGTTGCAAAAAGAAAAAGAAGTATTCAAGATATGGAGCTTTTCTTACACTATCCTGTAATAAACCACGGTCACATTTATAAAGCGATTGCCAATAAACCGCCGTTGAAAAGGTACAGTATTGTAATCACGCTCCTACCAAAGGCGTGATAAAACCCAAAAGTCAGTGGATGTAAGCAAAGAATGCATTTTGCGTACAGCTAAGCCTTGTTCTCTGAGAACTTGTAAACCAAAACTGTACGGAGATACCGCGTAAGCAGTTTTTCCCCTCTTGCTTGGCTTTTACTTGTTTTAGCGTTTTTGAAGTACTCCTCGCTTGTCAGTCGCGTACTTAACAAAACGAATACGCAACTGACAAGCGACGCGAACGACTTCGTAAACGCTAAAAGCCATGCATGCAAGAGAGAAACCTCTGCTCGCAGGCTAGTACAAAGATAACAGCGGTTGAGAAAACTCAGGGAAAATGATTATTACTAATTTTTACTCGATTTTGAGCAGACATACCTTATAAAAGGGACGACAAATTCAACAGGAATACACTCAAACTGAATAGTCTGTCGTCTAAGGTGCTAAACTCATACATTTTTCCTCCGCGGAATATAAACTCTACCAAAAGCAATATTTCGTCTCTTACATTATAAGAACCTATGTCATTGAGCATTATGACGCAAACTGCGACCTTGAGGGATCTCCTTGAGAATCTATTCGACTCTTCTTCCCCGGTAGAACACGCCGAATTTTCCTCTGAAACGTCTTTATTTCACTTTGCCGAAGCTGGTGTTACTCCAATCGGCGGTCGAAGTTAAGTAGATCTCTTTGTTTGCACTATTACTTCATCTCAAATTCAAATATTTTTTTACAAAAGCGGCATAATTAGCTCACGCTGACATCCTTGATGAGAACTTGATGTGTTGACATTCAATGACAAGTTAATTGCCAGAAGGCGGATCGGCGGCATTAAAGACATAATGCCTCCAGGCTCCGCCACCCTTTCTCCTCCCCAGACTACCTCTCGGCTCGCTTCGCTCGCAGATTTTATTTTTTTTTTTCGCCATGCCGATTTTTTCTCATTTTCCCACAATGCGGAGCCTGGTCCCAGGCTAATACAGATAAAATACTGAAAGAACTTAGTGACAGCCAACAACTTGTAGTTAGAAAGATATCCAATTCACTATTGGGCTAAATACTTTGACACTCTAATAAAGGAAAAATGGCAGGCGAGAGGATTGTCCTTCATTTTTGGTTAGTGTTAAAGGGACGCGATCACGGTTATGCGCATGCGCGCCTATTGTCCTTCAGAATAAATTTCTCGGGTCAACACTAAATTCGAAATCGCCATTACTGGTACAATCTTTGAAAATCCTTCGTTCTATTCCGATATCCGTTGCTTTGGCTGGCCTAGTTATACTTAGGTAGTGGTGATTAACGTGTGGTTGTGTTGTTTGACTGGTTACGTTTTAAGAAGACGCAAACCATGTAGGTTCAGAAGAGCATCGTGGCCTTTCGGCAACAGGACGTTCTCAAGAGTCTTTGGAGTTAGAGAAGCTTAGCCGATCGATATGGTATGGTTCTAGGAGTAGTGTGTGACTTACGAAAAGAATACACGACACTTGGAAAGTGGTTAAAGGCATGAGTTCGTTCAACTTTGATTTGATTTTTGACTCCGACCGGTAGTTATACCGCAATAGGCCGCGCGATCTTTACCGATTTGGTACACTTGAAATGTTCCCTGTATCTTTGCTTTACGATCGTATATGTTTAAGAATTGATGTTTTTAAAATGAATTATTACCTGAATATTCTGTGCATAATCTAGTTTCTTTATGCGTTCTACTCGATAACATTTGTTTTGCGGAACACTGACCCGATGCATCATGAATTTGTTCATTTGCTGATAAGCAATTGAAATATTTATGCTCAATTAAGGATAAT